AACTTAATGTCTGACGTATATGGTGGAGGGTTCGGCCAATTTCGCCTCTGAGTTGTTGCGACACACTCATGTAAGCATAAAATTTACGCTTCATTAACGCAATTTTACTTTTATGGATAATAAATTTAAACAAGAGCAGACGAATTAAACCGCGCTCTGAGCTGCTCGACGAGTCACCTTGGTCCGCCAGGGCCTGATCGAGGACGTCTTCGAGCGTCACTTGGGCGAGTCGCTGCAACGAGTATTATTTAAAAAATATAACTCAGTACTAACTGCAGTGAGTGACAGAGAGCGCATTTTCTCGTCGACGAAAACTTGAGGTCACGGACGGACGGACAGACGGATGGACAGACAGACAGACGGACATGGCGAGCACAATAGTGCATTTTTTCCATAAATGAGAAAATGCGCTAAAAATATAACTCGGTACTCACTGCAGTGAGTGACAGAGAGCGCATTTTGTCGTCGACGAAAACGTGAAGTCACGGACGGACGGACAGACAGACAGACAGATGCATATGCATTTGTTCCATAAATGAGAAAATGCGCTAAAAATTGTTTTCATTTTTTTATGGAAACATATCATGAAAGGTTTGCCATAAAACTAACAAAATATTAAATTCTATTGCAAAGTAGATATGTCAGCATTTTTTAAGGAATAATATAAGAAAATACACAAATAAAATTAAAATAAATGAAACATTACCGAATGAAATGTTTAAAAAAATTAAATGCAACATCTTCCCTACCATTATTGAAGGCTGTTAAATTCGAAAATTATTATGAAAATTTAGACATGTATTAAAACAGTTATTGATAGTTTCTCTGCAGTTAAGAAGTAATCAGGGACTTAACCCCTTTTTTATATTTATTATAACTGGATGATGATGGGTCAACACGTCCCACTTGAGATGCAACACTCGAGATGCAATCGATTCAGATGCAACTTAGGGAAGAAGATGGCACACACATCGAGGAGACATGAATAACTTATGATAACTTTTCGAAAATACCTGTTCACCAACGCTAAATGACGCCTTAATTAAAGTACTCAAATTAATTTCATTATAATAAATAAGCTAGGCTCGGAAAATATAATTGGTGGCAATAGCATTGTGAATATCTTTTTTTTTAAATAGTAATAATTAGCCGCATAACTATGAATTTGAAACTTTACGATTTGTATAAACCTTACCTAGGGTTTGCCTACCTAGAGGCAGATATTGTGCACAAAAATGTCGCCCAGAAAGTGGCCTTCGGCTCTTGTGTAGTTCTCAATTTGTGTAACGATTATAAGAATTCAGTCACTAACTGTCCGATCTATTGGCCAGGTATCCTGCTGATGCTTATTGACTGCGGTTCAGTTTAGAGGCACACAAGAATTTTTGTGGCAATTAATTGACATTTATCCTCTTATATTTTAAGTGACTAAAGTCGACGGATGCAATATTAAGTTAAGGTACAGAATTAATATTCAGTGTTGTTCCCCATTTATCAGCATGAAACCTACTGATCAATCATTATTTCGCCCAAGTAACACGTTAAGTGCATTCTTTTGAGTGCCAAACTCTCACCCGTCCGATGACGCGATCCAGTGCATTTCTAAATAACTCAGACTTTGCTTCAGTCTATTAATTTACTTCCTTAAATGATTCAAGTACTTATGGCGGGGCGGAGATTAAGTCCGCAAAATAATTTGAGGTTTGCTTTCATTTCAGTGGCACACTCCAGATCCTCCATTGTTGAAAGGACTAGTAAAATTTTTCCTAGGCTTATTGCAGACATATTGTCTCTATTTGAATAAAAATAATTGAAAACGATACGTATTTGAAAAATTCGCTAGCTCAATAAAAAGTCAATTGCATGACAAACTATTAGATATATCACTAAGTCGCTGTGCGCCTTATTTTTGAAAGTCGTAACAGAAATCTTTGACGTTGAATAAACAAAACCTGCATTTTCAACCCTGGGATCAGATCATTGCACTCGTGCAGACGCGCCGTGACTTAATAAGACTGATGCTACCCCGAGGTAGGGTTCAACCGTAGTGTTAAATATTTTGTAATATATAGGTGCCTACCTACATTGTTATATATAGGTGCTTCTATAGAGACAAATTTCTGATGACATTTCATGACGGACCCGCTCACTATAGGTGCAGACTTGGCTTGTTTAGCTTGCAGTTGGCCGTGTGCGAGTGATGCGATTCAAAGGTAGAGTAAACGCAAATCCAGGTGTACTGTGCCATTATTATCAAGTCCCTTGACGTGCGTGGGTAGTGGGGGGAAGGTCTCAGTCAACGCTGCCAGGCGTCAGCAACTTAACTGAGAAAAATTCAGCTCAACGGCCCCGTCCTTGTCAATTTCACATCACCTTGTAAAAGGTGAGTTGTAATCACCTTGTAAATTTCAAATCACATTTATTCACGAATTATCCGTAAATCCAACTTCAAAGTGTTCACGTCAAGTAAATTTTCATTCTTTAGATAATGAACAAATAATTTACATTCATTTCAGAAATTCAAAATTTGATGCCTTTCAACTTCCACTCGTCAGCCAACAATCACCTGACCGTCAAGTTTCTCAGATTCATTCTGCCTGACTCATCGGCAGTCACTGCTGCCATGGATGCAGTCAGTGCGACGACTGTTGCTACATCAGCAAACACAATTTTACATTACAAACTTTCAACCTACAATATCCCTTGCAACCAAATGAACACAACGGATGAAATTGATGCCACAAAACACGATCTTATGGCCTATTGAATTGATTATTCCTTACTACGTTCAAACTACATAACCCGCAGCTGGATTCAGTAACATGACTGAATAACAAGCACGTAATGAATCATTTTACGGATTAAAATTTTAATACGAATGTGCTGGCACCTATACGTATGCCATATTGCCTAATAAAGTAATAAGTGAGCTGTCATTTTAACAGAATTGCCCACATGAAGCCAATGAGCTCAGCAGGTACAGTTTGGTCGCGTCTGCGCGATACGTGATGTAAAGGTTTAAAAGGTTACAAAGTTTGACATGAGTTACATCTCAAAATTTACCTCATGGCATATTTTCTTACTTTTGATAACCCGGAAGTGATTTAAGTTAACCAGCATTGAACTTCACCACAATGATACAATGAAGATAAAACGAATCAGCACGAAAAACTGTTAATCTTGACCACGCTATTGATATGCACAGATTAAATGGTGAGCCCGTCATACTCGTTGAAACGCTCTATATTAGAGCGCATAATAAAATTACTCAATTTATATAATTAATTTCATTGATATAACGGGGGCGTTGAATTCATGGTCGTGATTTTAGATTTTAATGCGAGTATAATCTTTTAGTTTTGGGCGCGAGAAAGCGTGTACGTCGCAAGTTGTGAGCCTTTGAATTAGTCATGGAGTGAATTTAAGTGTAAGCAATTTGAATGGCGTATTCTGAGGTATTTCGCGTCTGCTTGTGAAAACTCGGTATTCGAGTCACAGCAGATCACGTGACATCTACAGAGACATGATCATTGATGAGACTCTCAGTGCGCTTCAAGTCGTCATGGAGTGAGGCTGTATAGTTCTCGATGTTCAACATTCATTCAGTGGTGGAACTCTTCGACTGCTCCTGTGCTCGTAAATATTTTTTGTTCACACTGGTATTTTCATAATATTGATTGATTCTAATTTTACTATAGATTTACTTACAAAACTTTATGCGTTTGATGCCAAGTGTGATGTTTCTTTATAGAATAGAAGTGTCGGCGTTGAAGAAATAGGCCCATGGCCTGTTGCCGATTCTTGAACTTTTCGCGACTTGATTCACAAGGGATCCGGCCTTTGGAACCCGATCTTTCCATAGCTGACGATTGATTGAGATAGCTGCTGGACTTATTGCCTGGTCCGTAATTTGCTAGGCATTTTAAGACAATTATTTAAGGCATTTAAGATAATTTTATTATAATATTAAAAAGGCTTCATTATATCTATTACTCATGCCACGAAAACAAAATGTTATATAATATTCAAATGAAAGATCTTTGAAACTCATTATATTGCGCAAATTTTTCTAGTCATTTTTACTAAGACGAGAAATTTGTATTGCATGACAGGATATGAGGGCGAATAGTACAGATAAGGTGATAAGATAAGAATAGTGCAGATAAGCGTGACTATTGATAAATTGAATATTTTTATCAATAATATGGTTATTATTAATATTATTGAAATATGTCAAATGAGTTTTCAGTCATGAACACAAAGAAATGATGATATGGTGAAGGGACTAATGTTGGAAAAATAGAAGTAATATTATTAATACCTGCTTTTTTGTTGTCTTAAATATTTTCTTAGATTAAAATATATGAATATAGATAGTAATTAGAAATTGAAAAAACAGTAACTTTATTATTATATGTGAGTGGAACTAGAGGTGACACCAGGGAACATGTTTAGGTAAGACAATTTTAAAATAAAATAAGCAACCTCAACGCCACTAAGAAGAAGTTGAGGCAATCGGGGAAGATATTAAGTTTGAGTTGAAATTTTAACTTGAATTACCTCTCTTTACAGAGTTCAACACGCGACCCAACACATCGCTTACAGATTTCAACACGCGACCCAACACATCGCTTACAGAGTTCAACACGCGACCCGACACATCGCTTACAGAGTTCAACACGCGACCCGACACATCGCTTACAGAGTTTAACACGCAACCCAACACATCGCTTACAGAGTTCAACACGCAACCCAACACATCGCTTACAGAGTTCAACGCGCGACCCGACACATCGCTGACAGAGTTCAACACGCAACCCAACACATCACTCTTCAATCGATCTGAAATTTTGCAAACTTGCGTAAAGTCGGAGACAATGCTTGAGTAAATTGACAGAATAAATAATTTTACAAATTGAAATTTTTTAATATTATAAACAAAAATTAAGAATATATTTTATATATTTAAAAATAAAATAAATTCATTGTACATGTGTAAATCGGAGACACTGGCCTCTTTAGAAGTCTTGTCTTTGAAAATAGTGTTGCTTTAAAAAGTAATTTTTAAACCCATATTATTATTACTATTATTAAATATGTCAAATGAGTTCTCCGTCATAAACACAAACAAAACAAATCTCATGGTGATTGGGCTAGTGGTGACGCCGGTGAAAATGTTTAGGTAAGACATTTTCAAAATAAAATAACCAACCTCAACGCCCCAAATATATTCAATTTAGAAGTTGAGGCTGGAGAAGATATTAGGTTTGTGTTGAGATCTAAACCTGAATTGCCTCTCTTTACAGAGTTCAACACGCGACCAGTAAAAATGAGCTTTCAAACTACCGCCAAAGTTTGGGTTCCTTTCCCTCCAGGCTCTCCCAAAAAAGAAGCTGAAGCCCTCAAGGCGGTTCGGCGACTTATGAATCAGGTTACTCCGAGAAACTACAAACAATTAAAAGATTACTTCAGCGATGCCATTATAATGAACAGCTATCATATGACGTCGATAGTGGACCTAATTTTTAACATAGCGGCAACTAAAGAATGTTACTCGCTAGAGTACGCGAGGTTATGTAAATATGTATCGGACGTGAAAAACCCCTTAGGTTCTAGTCCTGAAGCAGCGTCTTTCAAGACGGCCATCTTGGAAAAATGCCAACGAGAGTTCGGAAAGAAGTCCAGATTTCACAGGAAGTATAAAATGTTCTCGGATCAGGTTTGGAAATGCATTGATCAAGATCAGAAAACTGAGTTCCATATAGAACGTGGAAACCGGTATGATAAAGATACTAAACTGCTGGTGGAAACTAATGAAGATGAAACTGGAGACTGCAAAAAGAGTTATGGCGGTCAACCTAAGGCTTCGGATATACCAGCGCTACCCAAGTCTGTTGGTCTCATCACGTTTGTGGGAGAACTGTACAAGCAGGATTTACTCTGTGATGAAATAATACTTACAATTCTGCAAGACTTGACAGCTAATATTCATTGTCCTGAAAAAGTCGAAAGTTTCTACAAACTTCTTGTACTGATCGGTCCATTTTTCTGGTCCCAAGTTGACGACGAAGGCATGAATCTCATCGATAATTGCATGAATGATGTCAAGAAGCACTTCCAAGTTGTGGAAGATCGCCGCATCAAGTTCTTGTTAATGAAGGCGATCGATTTATACGACAACGGATTCGTATACAAACAATGCTTTCAGAACCAACCTACCAACAACTCGGGTTACCAACTTTCCGAAGACAAGTTACAAAACCAGCGCCGAAATCTCGGCTACAACTACCGAGTTGGTCCATACGTGACGAACTCGAAGCTCCGCGGTTTGGAAACGATTAACTCTGCGACGACCAAGCACGGTAAGCCTTTCAACATACCCAGTTGCCACAACTCGGACTGTAGCTGTGAAAATTTTATACACAGAGCTCTTTTCTTTCTTTGATACACAGAGCTCCAAACTTTTACTCCATTTCCTCAAATTTTTTCCTCCCATTCCTCCAATCCTTCCCTCCCTTTCATCCCTTTTCTGCAATCCTTTTATCCCTTTCCTCTGACCCCTTTCCTCTGACCCCTTTCCTCCGACCCTTTTCTCCGACTCTTTCTTCCCTTTCATCCGATAATTTCCTTCAATCCTTGCCTCCAAGCCTTGCCTTGGAAATATTTTCCAACCTGATTACTGAGTCAGCTGCGACGAAGAAAAAGATCTTGTTCTGCCTATTGAAGGGCAGAGTCGCAGCTACTCGACAGATGGCTTACCTTAAATTCAAAGCGTGCGGTTGTAACAAGAGCGTATAAATGTTTCTTCACCATAGTTTCCTAACTATTCATAGAGGTGTTAAGTTGTTGTGCACAACCTTTGCTTTGTTTAAACTTTGATTTTGGGGTGCATGCGCTTTTCACTTCTTTTGGAACGCTTTGGCCGGCTGGTTCAATCTCGTAGTTAAACTTTAAATATAGAGCTCTGCAACTTAAATTACTTAAATTGACTTAAAAAACTACTAGAAAGTACTTAAATTCTTATTTGGAACTTTGTCTGTTCCCAACTATTAACGTGAAGTGGCCTGTGGCTAAAGCGATCTACCCTTTAAAACCTATGGTGACATTTAATTTCAGCTACCGCACCTAAATATATTCAATTGCTTAATCTTACTCGTATTGCCAGTTTCGTCTGAGAGCACCAGTTTGGTGCACTTATTTTCAATTAAATAAGGTGAGCTACACTCTTGAATTCGAACTAATATTAAAATTACTGAGATAAAAAAGTGACTGAAAATTCATAACGTACCTAATTGTAATTCAAGTATCTATTTTAAACAGTATGACTTCCTCGTAAACTTCTGGCGTCGCCCTCGCTCGTAAACTTCTGGCGTCGCCCTCGCTCGTAAACTTCTGGCGTCGCCCTCGCTCGTATACGCTGCTTTCTTAAAATGGATTTTCTTTCCTGAAGCGGAATCTTTATTAATTCTGAAATCTGAATGCAGTACCAGCAACAACTGTTGAATTATGATTAAAATAACCTAGATTCATGTTTATTTGTTTCAAATCCCTCTCCCTAAATTTTGGTGAATGAAAACTATTTCTGAAAGAGGAATGTCCTCGTGCGTAAATAAGTATCCTGGATACGTGCCCCAACAGCCCCTATATACACAATATCCCGACACGATAAGTATCCTGGATGCACGCCCCTACAGCCCCTATGTTCAATATCCCGACACGATAAGTGGCTGTCTTTATTCAAATAATTTGAGATGTCTTTATTGATTCATTGATTTAAAATCAACGCTATTATCTGGAAACAAAATATTTTGAAAATTTTTACGATTTAGCCTACACTGAAAAGTTCTACAACGATCAAAATAATGAAAACTTCAATTATATTGTTTGTACACTAAATGAAATGACGGATATTTTGTCCAAACAGTACGTGATGCACGTTTCGCCTTTGTGTGGGTCATCCCGAAATTTCTCACTCTAAAATATCTTTTTTACAGATCAGACCTTGCAACCTCAACCCCACACATCAGCGATGTCCTCGAGGACGCCTCACTGCGGTAACGTTCGTGGTCCGGAGGACTTACCATCCAGTGAAAAACGACTCTAGTCGATGTGTGCACTACTGAACCGAATTCATCCGGAGAATTACGATAATTTGAAAACTCCCTTCAGAAATATTATTATAAGAAAGGGTAGGTTTATGAAGTCAATAATTAACCTAATTTTCGATTGAGTCGTTTCAGCGCCGCAGTTCATTGGAGAGTACGCAAATCTATGCAAATATATCTTGGACATATCGGAATTTATAAATAGTAGTCCTAAAGTAATGTTTTTACGTAATTCTCTCCTAGCAAGATGGAAAAATGAATTTGAAATAAGACACAAAAAAGAAGCCCACTGACAGAAGGAAGTTCAGAAGTCCTTGGATCGCATTTCGAAATGCACTGATTCCGAACGAAACTAAACTTTCTTGAACTTGAGCACAAAGAATATTTTTTTGACAAGATGTTCCTTCAACGAGAGAAGCTGCTGAAGGATATTGACGAGTCAACGTGTGAAGAAGAGAAAAGGAGCGCTGAAGACTTGAGGCTTTAGATGAACTTGCTCTCCGCAGGGCTGTTGGAATAATAACGTTTGTTGGAGAACTGTACAAGCAAGGTATGCTTCGTCCTAAAATCATGCTTACAAATTTGAAAGATCTGGCGGCTGATATTCATCGCCCCGGAAAGGCAGAATTTTTTTGCAAACTGTTCACCATCATTGGTCCTGTTTTGTGGAACCAAGTTGGCACTAAAGGCAAGAACATCATCGAGAATGTCATGAATGATGTCAAGAAGCACTCGCAAGATACGGAATATCATCGCATCCAGTATGTGTTAAATGATGCGATCGTTTTATACGACGATGGATTCGTGGACAAGCGTGCTTGTCAGATACCGCCTCTCCACAAACCAGTGCCGCAGATCAGGGAAAGACTAGGAGATTCTGCTGGTAGAGATGCTGGTGGCAGAGATGCTGGTGGCAGAGATGCTGGTGGCAGAGATGCTGCTGGCAGAGATGCTGGTGGCAGAGATGCTGGTGAGAGATGCTGATGAAAGAGATGCTGGTGTCAGATGCACGGATGTAAAATAAGTTCTAGAAGGCACTGAATGGGAGGCGACAACAGTAGAGATCGACCGTGACATGTCAGTTGGAAGCCAGTAGTTATACAGCTAGCAACCCATGTAACGGCTATGTCAACTTGCTGTAGCCGCGCATCTTAGTGACTTTAGCATAGCTGACAAGCACTGCCTTTATTGGTGAGTTACACAACTAACTTATACTTCGGACATAGTAGTGAATTAAATGATTGCCTATTATTGTGCATAAATTAAGAATTAATTCAACTGTGATTGTCATTTCTTGTTTAGTGAACAAACTTGTTAGTGTTGAAATATAATTTATTTCACGTGTAGGGTTGCGGAGCTTTCGTCAGTGTACTACTGGAGAGCGGGCCGTGGACCAGATTAATTAATGGTCGAGTTTTAAGATCCAATCTGGGGTGCCTTAGGGTCAAGGAGGTGTCCTGATCTCATGTTGAGACAGTAAAGCCGCTACCAGTATTTTGTATCTATAATGCCAGGTAAATACATTTAGTATTCCTTTCATTACAATTAAAGTAAATATATTTCTTCATAACAGCATTTCTTACTTGTTATACGAGTGTAGGTATCACTATCACAGCCACGCATCATTATCACAGTCCCGCATCACTCAATTAACATTAACCGTATGAGTAAAATTAAGATTTTCAATAGAGCTGCCCCAGAACTCGTAACTTTCTCAAAAGTACGGCCCTAGAACTTGAGACTTCAACCCACGATTCGGAACTCAAGATTTGTTACTATTAAAAAATATTTTCACCATTTAGACAAATAGTTGATTATGGCGGCAGCAATACTTTATTAATAATTAATATCATAAATGATAAATAATATCGCAAGCTTAAAAAAAAGCTTAAAAATAATTGACTTCAATAAATTTTCTACACCAAAATAAGTGAATAATGTGCACGAGAATTGTATGAAGCTATAGTGATTACAGCATATATATTGTGATTTTATATAAAGAGATTTTTTATATATAGTTGTTATCTAACTAGAAATTAACTACACTAATTGTAGTTAGTTTCTAATAAAATAGATAAAATGAAATAAAACATTGGAATGAAGTTGTATGTGAAATGAATACCGACATTCAGTGGCATCAAAATTCAATGAATGAATGAATGTCTGTGTGCCTTTCATATTTCCATAGGCTTATAGAATTTCCGTAAAGTTTCCAAAGGAAACAGAATAAGCAATAATTTTTATTCAAATATATCGCAAATGAATCATAGTAAGTAATAAATTATTAATATATTTATAAAGTAAAAATTCATTCATTAATTTCACTTTCGCGAATCAATATCGATTCATCAAAATATATTTGTCTGTACAAGGAGGCTCTATCCATTCTATCCAGTTTATCCGTTCCGTGTATTCTATCATTTAAAGAGATTTTGTCTGTCCTGGACGAAATGGAAATTTTATCCGACGTTTCATATTTTTGCCAAACTTTTAGTTTGGACGCAAGGGCTGTTGTCGCTGCCTTTACCGTTGCTGTCTTTAGTCTCGATTTTAGTGTTGATTTTGATGTTGTTGAAGCTGTTTCTTGAGTTGTTGATGAGACTGTTGTTGTGGTTGTTGATGCAGATGTTGATGTTGCATCTGTTGAAGCCGCAGCAGCGCCAGTTCCCCCCGGCCGCTGGGAGGGGAGGCGTCCCCCTATGGAGGCTGTCAGCTCACGCGCCCACCAGTGCAGGTTTGTGCGGGGAAGAGGGAAGCGCAGCCCTCTTGCCATCGCGGCGTCCCTCGCCCACTGGGCTTCCGCGGCCTTCCAGTCGAAGAAGACCAGCCCGGTGGGCTTGTTACAGCCCACTGGTCTGGTGGGCTTGTCACAGCCCACTGTCCCGCGGTTGGGACGGTCGACGAGGGCAGCATCTTCAAATGGGCTGCAAAACGTTGTTTTATTAACTAATAATACTAATAATGAGCATTATATAAGTATCATCATTATCAAGAGCAGAAGAATAGCCATAATATCAGCGAAAACGACAATAAAATCAAAACCATAGATAGTATCAGTTAAAAAACATTCGATACCAAATTTCGAATATCTTAAAGTTAATCCCAATGAATATTTATTTAAATCGTTACATGCATGATAAGAGTGCAATGTCTGTGTTTGATACGTCACCTCATATTCTATTGGCAGCGCGATTAAGTTTGTTTGAAAGTTGAACATGAACGTTAACTTTTTTTCCAATATTCAGCAAATCTTCAAAAGTAGTCACAACTAATGACCAGCAAAATGCACCCTAAGCACACATCGACCAGACCTCCACGGCAGCGGCCGGACAACTGAGCACCCGCGTCTCAGGGTTCTTTATATACCCTCACCCACTCCAGCGGCTGGCGGAGGAGTGACTCAAATATATTCAGCATCCGTCATTATATGTGTCAGGAAGACCCGTTAGGATGCGCCGTGCGTGATATGACTGCTAATATAATTGGCGAGCAATTCACACAAATACCTTAAAATTTATCCTTTATCAGCGCAATTCATACAAATATCTTAAAATTCATCTACTGTTCACTCTGAGCTTATTCGATAGCATCTTTTCGGAGCATCTTTATTTATTTAACTTCAATAAGCTCAGCATCGGAGAACTCAAATATTTCTTTCAAAACTTCCATAATTTCAGATAAATTAGAATTAATGCCAAGTCAGTTTTTCGACATAATTAGTTAGCTTCAAGAATCGTGTCAATTACGAATTTCTGTAGAACACGAAATGTTTCCACTCTTTTCCTTGAACGAAAAGCCTGAATGAGTGGATCATTTTGTCTAAATGCTGACAAAGTTTATTGTTCACAACGCGACGTGGACCAATCCTCACGTGGACATCCTTCTGCCGACACAAACTTGGTCAGGATGACCCACTTAAGTGCAAAGAGTGCATCGATATTTAGACAAAGACTCACATTTATTTGAGAGTTTGGTCGCCTATATGACAACGTTCGGTTTGAAGTTCGAAGCTTGTTTGATGTGAGTAAATGTAAATATTATCGTGGGTCGAATATCTCAGCAATTTTAAATGACTTATCACTGTGAGATAAGATGTAATATAAGCGAATATGTGTCATGCAGATAAATGAATGAACACAGCTGGCATCGTATCACCATACGATAATGGGAACGTGGAGTAAACGCGTACGATTATATTGAATTTTTCAAAGGTTGCACGTCATAATTTGAAACATAACATCAAGTTGACTTTGGCAGAAAAAATCTTCAAATGTAACTTTTAATGTAACAGAAAAGTTGGACTGTGAGCCGAATTTCACCAAATCTCCTCAACTTATCATGAAAAATCTTCGGCTAAATTTGTTAATCCTACATTGTAATATCTCGTCTTGTTTTATACCGCAATATCTCGTATCGTTATGTTACGTCTCGTTTATAAGTGTTTGCAACGTTACATAATATCTGTACAAAAATCTGGTGGAATTCATTGTAAATTTGGTAGTCATAAATAGTCCGCTTTTCTGGCCGGTGTCAAGCCGAACCCAAAGAAGAATCGTTGCAGCAAGAATAGTCAGATTTCCTATACCAGCCTAACCGCACGGTGCTCCCGCTTCACCTGTGTTTGCCTAGCAGTTTTTTGGAAGGCATACCTGCAGCATCTTATCTCGGCCGTGGTCCTGCTCTCCTTTTGATCTGGCGAATTGTGGTGGCTCGACGTGAGCGTGGTTCCCCTACCTGGAGCTCAGACGTTCTCCTGCTCGGCAGCTGTGGTCACGGTGGTGCTACACTCCTGGAAGCTACACTCCTTGATGCTTCGAGACGTCAGAGGTGAGGCTTGATTCTTGGCCAGAACCTGCTTACCTCGCTCCTAGCCAATTTTTCAAAGTTGGATGATCCTTTGGGACTGGACCGTTGTTAATTTGTGAATTCCACCGATTTTTTGTTGAACACTGATATTAATTAGCCATGTACTATATTCAAACAATTCTCAAGTTTGGGTTTGTTTACCGGCAGGTGTGAACCGTGTGATGTCCATGGCCAGCCATGGATGACCGAGCCAGCCGTTGATCCATCATTTGAACTGAAATAAAGCCTGTTCAGTTTCTAGTAGCAAATCCTTTCTTATTTTCCTGATTCGTTGAAATTGGTTATGGTTAATAACTGAAGTCGGAAATTCAGTCATCTTCTATTAAAAATTTAAATTCAATATTCATTATTTTTGTATATGGTCCTTCGAACCGGATTCTAGTCCTAACTCTTTGCTCGAGCTTCCATGGTTGGATCTTGTGTGATAGTGAGTTTGTGGCCGTGGCTGTGATTTGGTGTGCTGACCTGTTTGCCATTCCCGATTATCTCTCTGCAGGCTGTGTGCAATTTATGCTGCGGGCGGAAATCTCAATTTTAATAGGTTTATTGAAATACGTTGTGCCTATTTCATATTGTTGAAACTAATAATAAATTCTATTCTTGTATATTCTATTTCATATTCTAATATATCTATATTCTTAAAATGTCTGTTGATGATGTCACTAACGCGGAGGCTGTTGACCAGCTTCAAGCTGATTGGCATTCCTCTTCTAAGATTAAGGATCCAGCAATTAAGCTGATGATTCATCAAAGAGCAGGCAAGCGGCAGTCGTTAACGAAATGTCTTAATAGCCTAAATGCATCCTTTCCCGACTCTGAATGTGAAATCGAATTTTATGTTGCCAAACTTGAACTTTTGAAGGGGCAGATTTCCACCCTTGATACAGAGATTGAGACGATGATGCTGACGCATGGGTTGTGGGGTGCCGATGAGTTCTCCCGTCAGACCGATATATCTGATGACTATTCTGATAAGCTTGGAGTAGCTTTAGGCCAGCTCAAACTTGCGCGTCGCGCTTTTGAATGCAGTAGTGCCGCTGTTACAGAGCGAACAGTTGTTCCTGGGTCGGGTAACGTGCCGAAACTTAAGCTACCTCAAATTGAATTGCCTAAATTTAATGGTCAACCAGAATTATTTGAACAATTTATTACATCCTTTGAGCGTATAATCGGTAAATTCAACCTTACGCAATTTGAAAAATTTTCATATCTCATTCAGCAGCTGTCGGGCCCTGCCAGGCAAATTGCAGACTCGGTTCCTCACGATGATTTCTCTTATGATAAGGCGAAGGATGTGTTAACTGACGCTTTTTCCAACAGGACTGTGCAGCAGTATTCCGTGATTGGTAAGCTCGTTAACTTAAAGTTCAATCCCAGAACTCCTTATCAGTGGGTTAGTGAGGCCCGTACAATTGTAGATCAAACTAATCGTCTGAGAATAGATACTGACATTTTCTTGCAGTTCTTCCTGTGGAACGGTTTGTCTGACGGCTTCAAGAAACAGCTGACGACTATTGTTAACACGTCTAAACCCTCTTTACAGAAGATTTCCTATACCAGCCTAACCGCACGGTGCTCCCGCTTCACCTGTGTTTGCCTAGCAGTTTTTTGGAAGGCATACCTGCAGCATCTTATCTCGGCCGTGGTCCTGCTCTCCTTTTGATCTGGCGAATTGTGGTGGCTCGACGAGAGCGTGGTTCCCCTACCTGGAGCTCAGACGTTCTCCTGCTCGGCAGCTGTGGTCACGGTGGTGCTACACTCCTGGAAGCTACACTCCTTGATGCTTCGAGACGTCAGAGGTGAGGCTTGATTCTTGGCCAGAACCTGCTTACCTCGCTCCTAGCCAATTTTTCAAAGTTGGATGATCCTTTGGGACTGGACCGTTGTTAATTTGTGAATTCCACCGATTTTTTGTTGAACACTGATATTAATTAGCCATGTACTATATTCAAACAATTCTCAAGTTTGGGTTTGTTTACCGGCAGGTGTGAACCGTGTGATGTCCATGGCCAGCCATGGATGACCGAGCCAGCCGTTGATCCATCATTTGAACTGAAATAAAGCCTGTTCAGTTTCTAGTAGCAAATCCTTTCTTATTTTCCTGATTCGTTGAAATTGATTATGGTTAATAACTGAAGTCGGAAATTCAGTCATCTTCTATTAAAAATTTAAATTCAATATTCATTATTTTTGTATAATATCGGGTACGATTATCGTCCCAATTTACAATCCTATTCCGGGACATTTCTCGTCTCGATGACACGATTCATTTGATGAAACAAAGCTGTGTAGTTCACGACATCTTGTTCAGGTACCACATGAAAGGTTTGGATAACATCCGTGACAGGTTAGGCATGCATAAAATATTGGGTTAGTTTCTGCACAAAATTTACTTTAGAATTTAGCAAAAACTGTTATATAAAATTAATAATAAATCACAGAACTACTGTAATTTCAATAGATGCTTATAAACAACTCGACGGTTGATAAAAATTCCTTTAAATTGCTAACAAATATGAATTTCGTGAATTTTTTCTAATGTATACTTACTTCACCTTCAGATCCTGAATAGTGCAAAGCTGCTCAGGCTTAGCCAAGAATCTGCAGTGCGGTGGCCTGCTGTTATGACGCAGAGCCCGGCGCTACTACCGAATGATATGAAAAATACAGAGATTGAGATAAAGAAATAAATCGGATATAATAAACTAAAATAATATAGAATAAAATAAAATTATATGACATGTATAAGATATAATGTCAGATGAGATGAAAAGAAAAATGGAAATGGGCCTAAAAATGCTTAACCGAAAATAAAATGAATTTCATCATTAAAGTCAATGAATTTCATCATTAAAATTCATCAGGCAAGGCAAGTTAATAAATTTCGCCTAAAAAATTATTTTAGGCCAAACAAATTTCGCCCTAAAAATATCATACAGATGACAGTCACGTTATTACTTAATTGGAAATAAGAAAATAAGAAATGCAATGCGAAAGAGCACCAAATAAACTAAAAATTTGAAAGCAAAGAAAACTCCACAAAAATTCATAGTATCTTTAAAGAAAACGTTTCGGAGTCCAACTCCATCGTCAGTTCGAAAATTCTAGAACAAAGATAAATCAGTAATTAGTACAGTCAAGATAACAACAAAAAACCAAAGCTGTAAAACCTACCTATTTACAATTTCAAGCGGGTAAGAGCTAAAAGCTAAATTCAAACTAGGCCTCTGTTTAAAAATATACAATGATTCTAAAATGCGCAAATCAGAAACACCGGAACTGGAAGCTAAAACTTTGAAGTCACTGTCAGACACTGGAACATCGCACTGCTCGGCGTTAGCCCGCACAGCCGAATGAGGGGGGCGCGACAGTAAGTTACCAGTTCCACAACTCCTGCCCCCATGTTCTGCGACCCTAGAATAAAGATTGCGAGAGGTCATCCCGACGTACGCAGA